CCAACTCTTGGAGAAATTTGATAATAGTTCTCAAAACATTCTTGGACAGTCTTCTTGTTTTTTTTTTTTTTTATGCTTTCTTTCTTTCTTGCACTACGGTAAGCTGTATCGTACCTTTGGTGTGAAAGTTCGTACATAAAATCATGAATTCATTATTCTAATCCCTTTCTTAAAGAAAGGGAAATGTATTGTTTTTCCATCTCTCTGAAATCATATTTTCTTGATTCATATTCACATGCAGGAAAGATGTTGGTCCTGATAATTTAATAGCATTTACTTGTTCTTTTGACTATCTAAGCATGTTTATTTTGGGGGGAGGGAGGTTTATATTAATGACTATCTAAGCCTGTTTACTTGATGAATAAAGCTTGTTTTGATGCTCTATGTGTTGCTCCTTTCTTTGCTTCAATGGCTGTAATAGTCTATTGCATTCTTCTATTTATCCATCATTTTTCTATTTGGCAGTGCAATAATTGTTATGATTTCCATGGCCTATGAGTTATGCAGGAGGACTATTTTTTGTTTGTTTGCATGACATGCTTCGAAAGAGACCCGAAGTATCTGAGATACACTGTGTTAAGGGTGCAAAATAGCCTCTAATGCAATTTAAGCTTCATGGAATTTCCATTGATCTACCATATGCATAACTTAAAGTTTTATATGTCATCCTCAAGCATATAAAACTTCAAGTCAGGCACATGGTAGATCAATGGAAATTCTATCAAACTTAAATAGTATTAGGGGCACTCTTGCACCTTTGACAAAGTGTATCTTAAATATGTTTCTTTTCCAGCATGTCACCCGAACAAACAAAATGTATGCGATTATGAAGTTAATTTGAGCAGCTTAAAATTTTAGCTGGAATTAAGGTTTGTTTCTTCTGAAGTTTTGCCAAGTCAAATGTTTGAATTAAGGTTTGTTTCTTCATTTAGTTGCTTGTTAATTTATTTATTTAAATCTTCATTCATTCATTTTTTTGGTTGATTATTTAATGAACCCTTTTTGTTTAATTATTCGCTTGGCATATATGGATGCCATTTAGCATTCTTAATTGTTTAAGAAAAGCTTTTGCAAGTAGCATTCTTTGACTTAAATACTTCACCCACTCTAATCAAGTCTTGGAGAGTAGTCGTTGGAGGAATACTCATAGCCATAGGTTAATAGGATTTTGAAGTCTCATGTGGTCTTCTTTCAACGATGCCAATTACCTTACACAACCAACCTGCAAGCACATTACTCTTAACCAAGCCCTCTATCTGCAATATATACCGCACATGGACCCTCAAAGCTTCGATGCTGAGATCTCAGGGCTAGCTCTCATCATTGAGGACGCCATGAAAGCCAAAAAGCCAAGCAAGCCCTAGCCAAAATCCGCCAATAGCTTCAGAGAAGAAGCCCCACTTATGGTGAAAAGCGTTACACCTTACTTTTAGACAATATTTTATCTCAATTGAAACTATTTGGAATTATTTCTTATGGCCATAAGTTGAAAAAATTTGAACTTTAAAATTTCATAAATTCAGGTTATTATTTATGTAACCCTAACAAAGGTCAAGCTTTGAAAAATCATAACTAATTCTAGAGAAATCAAAACGATATTGTTTCAAGTCCTACTTAAAGCTTACAATGAGCTCTTTAAGGGAAAAATATGGTCACAGTATGCATTCAGCTCATGTGTGCCCAGTTTCAATAATAAGATGTACTATTTATTTAGTCATTTTCTCACAATTTTGGAAGGGCATAACTCTTTGTATAGAACTCCAAATTTTATGAAATACCATACATTCTAAAGCTAAAAATATGATTTATTAGACTGTTAAGTTTCAGCTCCAAACTCTATTATTTGCTCAAAATTTCGCATGGTCAAATTTTACCCTTCAAAAGTCAACTTTTATCCTTTTCGTGCCAAAACTTAACCAAATAAAACCACAATCATTCCAACATGGTTCAGCCACATATGACAGCATATAATAAGTTATTCTTTATAATTTATAACCCTTAAAAGTCATCCAATATATAGTCATAAATATTATAAATATTGTACATAATGTTCAACATAAATTCAATATAATTTCATAACATATTTCCTTTATGGAAATATCACCTCCTTGCCCTTGATCATACCACTTGAGAGTCCTATTGGTTGTTTATACATAAAAGGAATGAGATTTTATAGAAATCTCAATAGCAATGAATCACAGTTATCTATGCAGAATGTGAGATATTACATTAAAAATAGAGTTATCATGCAACATTACATATACATTACACTTGCCATGGAAAGAGAGTCATAAATCAACCATTATGCCATTCAACATTACATATTGCCAAGGGACATTTAACATAAAAATTCACACATAATCACATAGCTTGCTCCATCACATCATGGCAACAAAATCAGGTAACATAAACACATTTAAGCAAGCAAGAAAGCAATCAAATTATGAGTTCAATGTTACCTCTTACTCATGTATTAAATTCAGCCTCTTTAAGGATTTTGTGCTTCTCTTTGTTTTCTTGCATAATGCCCATCAATCCAAGCATAAACACATTCCATATTATCAACAATCCAAGCATAAACACCATTGTTCAACAATAAACTCAATTAAACCCTTTTTTCCTTGATTTTGACATAATTTTTTCCTCTTTGTTTCATCCAATCTCTTGGGCCATTCCTAAACAATTTTTCATGTAGAATCCAAATATCAAATTGGATTTTAAATACTTTTTCTTGGTGTTTCCTTACATAAAAACACCTTTTTAAACCCATTGGAATCATCAAATCACATTAAAACAATCTTTATCCTCAAAATTCCATAGTGGCCAAATAGGGTGTTTAGAACCCTAACTTTGGTTTTCTTCCAAAATTCAATCCAAACATCAATTAAACATGCTATTCCAAGCTCATATTCATCATTTCTATCCTTCTCTAAGGACTTGGATTTTGTCATAAAATTTCAACATAACATGTTTTGCAACGTTATACTTCAATTGGAACCATTATAACGTGTTTTGCAATGTTGCCAGATGAAAAATTTCAACTTCAAAATTTTACCTTTAATTCTGTCCGTACACTGTTCTTCCGAAATTGGGCCAACTTTGAAAATTCATAACTAATTCTAGAAAAATTGAAACGAGGTGGTTCTAATTTTCACAAAGCTTGCTAAGAGTTCTATACAGAAAAAATATTCATTGGACTCAATTCTATCCAGAACAGCACCAGAAAATTTGACAAATTGCACTGTTCATATGGTCAATTTTTGAATTTTCAGTATTTTTGGCCAACTTTGGAAGGGTATAACTTTTAGCATAAAACTCTAATTTTAATGGTTTACTACTTGTTTTAAAGCTAAAAATGAGATCTATTTGCTTGTAAAATTTCATGTCCAAATTCTAACAATTACATATCATTTTATGTTCCACAAGATTGGTCTCTTTTAAGGTATTTTTATCCCCTAATTTCATTTTCTTTAATTTTTATTCCCTTTTTTCCTTGTCTTTATCCTTGTGTCATTGTATCATTCAATATTCCAACATTAGGGCATGCTAATGTGACTGAAAATTGAACAACATAAGGACTTGGATTTTGTCATAAAATTTCAATCAAAACAACCCTTAAATCTAACCAAAATCAAGCTTAGACATACCTTAGTGGATCCTTGATTGAAGCTTGATGATTTTCCTTTGATTTGGAAGGTTTTAGGTGCTATTTAATGGTGATATTTCAATTGAACAGAATTTTTCCTCTTTTTCCTATTTTTGGCCAAATTATGTGTAATTAGGGGGTATTTATAGAGCTCAAGCTCTAACCATAATCCCTCCAAAATGGTGCCATTTTCTGCTACATAAAGGTACATGTGTATCTTTTCATAACCCCCAAATTTCAGCTCATGCCAAGTGTCCCTTCTTGATTTTTCTTATGTATTTTGGGCTTAAATTGGGCTTGAACTCTTTTAATAAGAGAGACCATGGGCTGTACGAATTTGGTGGGCTTCCTTGGCTCAAATGAAGTCCAAAACTGATAAGGAAGAAAAGAGAAATATGGTCTAATCACAAGTTATCAATTTCTAAACAAAACTCACTATATTGGTTACTATTTTCAAAAATAGTTCTGGGCCTTTAAAAATTTATTTCTCTCCATCAAAAATTCCCTTTTAATATAGGAAAGTATCCTGAAAATTTTTAGAATTTATCTTAACCTCTAACTATTTATTTCGAATTTTCTTTGAAATCAAGCTTTACTGATAAGATTTCGGTAATAAATATTCTAAAATTAATTCCTGCATTTTTAGGGCCTGGAGATAATTTTATAAACTCAAATAAATCCCTAAATAATTATTTCATATTTTTTTAAAATTATTGAGGCCTCTAAATATTTGAAATAATTATTTTTGCTCAATTTTCACTATTTTTTTTTGAAAAGCCTATATTTTCAGGAAATTCTATAATAAGTTATTTTTATGCTATTTTCACCTTCGGGGCATCAAATAGGGTTCCAAAACATTTAATTTATCTTTTCTTTTTTTTTTTTACCATTTTTCAAGAATTTTCAAAAAAAAAATGTTGAAATGTTTTCATTTTGCCCTTCCTGGACAGGTAATTTCAAAAAATCAGTTTGGACCCTGTCTGGGTTTTATGTCATGCCTGGTTTCATCAGTCAGTCTACTTTTCATATTGGACCTTGACTTAATTTTTCATACTCATTATCAGGGTTAAATTTTTCAGGATGTGACAAAAAACAAGCCCTGAGTTCTTATGCAGACTAGTAAGTACATGAAAATGACAACTCACCTATCGTGTGCCGCCCCATCTCTCCCTCTCTAGTTTCTACACTCCACCCACACACCCACACACTATTAACACAACAAAACACATTGCAATTATATATATATATATCTATATATATATTATAGTATGTGTCAAGCCAGCCATAAAAAATGGTAAATCAACATAGAATCCCCCGAAACCTCTGAGAGATGATGCACCCAATGTAGGCGGAGCAAACTATATATATTTGCTTTATCGAAGGAAATACAAATTGCTGATTTGGCAACCCTGGCAGAAAGAAAACTATAAAACCATGCGAAACAAACCGAAACAGGTCTCTGTGTGCCTACGTGCGAGTGATCAGAGAGAGAGAGAGAGAGAGAGAGAGAGCGCAGTGAGATGGGGTGTGTGTGTGTTTTTTATTATTAAAGCAACTTTGTAATAGATGTTTCTTGCAGAGATGGGTCACTGGATGGAGCAAGACTCAGGGGATGAATCATAAACTACACGATAACAATAAGGGTCATAAGGACGCTTAACGCAGCAAGAAGGACATGTGATCCAGGGAGGACACTGGCCATAACACGGTGGTGGTCGGACACAGATAGAAGAAGCACACTGACCACTGCACTTGAAGCTCCCACATCTTTTGCAGGACTTGCAATCCCCATGGCACTTGAAGCTCTCGCATTTCGTACATGGCTTGCAATCACCATGGCACTTAGGGCTATGGCATCTTGAACAAGGGTCACAATGCCCGGGGCACTTGGTGGGGCAAGGATTACAGGGCGGCACAATGCAAATTGTACAGCTTCGGACTTTGTCTTTGTCCTTGTCCTTGCCTTTGTCTTTGCCCTTATCCTTTTCTTTGTCTTTTCCTCTGTCCTTGTCCTTGTCTTTGCTCTCAGGAGGTTTGGGCTTCACTTCTTCCACCGTTAGAACGGTGACAGTCCGGAACTTCTTCTTCAGCATCCTACCCAAGCAAACCGTATCCACATCTTCACCTATAACTACTACTCGATCTTTGTCCTTCTCGTCTATTGATACGGAAGTCACTCCTGTACAGTACATGCATTTGCATTTACGTTCAAAACAATCAAAACCATATTTTTTATGCAAGAAAGTTCGGCTCTTAACATGAAACCAAACACTCTAATTCTCTGTTAAGTTTTTGCAGGGGTGTGGTTGTACTGCAATGGCATAACGCAAGAGTATATATGTGTAATTACCTTTTATGGACGAAGCTATTTTCAATGCCTTGTTTCTGCAACTGTCGCACTCCATATGCACCTTCATTGTTATTTTTTGCTGCAGTACCCATATGACGAAGTTCAAACACAAAAGTTGTTTCTTATGCAACAACATAAATTAAGCGGAACTTCTAAGAAACCGATTATTAAAAGTAGTGAAATATATAGATCCATCTCACCTTCATGTTGACGTTTGGAAACAAATGGCGAGTTATAGACGTTGTCCGGAAAACTGAATTGGCAGCATATATAGCAAATGCTTCTTCCTGTCGGGCTTCTGTGATTCCCCTGTTACATACATATATAGTGCAGTTAGTTCTTGTTTGTTAATGTGTTACGTACCAACACAAATAGCGACAAGTACCTTATTCGTCTTATATCTTGGCTGAAACTACATGCATGGTTGCTGGGTTCAAGATTCCCCCGGGCTCTAAGAACCAATAATAACATACAAATATACAAGCATATATTCTTCCTCCGTCCTAAATGTAGAGCGCTAATTGAGGCTTGAAGGGCGTATTTTAATTTTAAATGTAAAATCTTATAGTTACAACTTTGTCTTATAAATTTTTTATTTTCTTTCTAAACTATTCTTAAAAGGAAAATTTTTGTCAATATTTTCGGATACAAAGGATTCAAGAGGTATTTAAAAATACATAAATATAATTTTTATAAATTACTAATTTAACTAATTTTATTAATCTTTGTAAATTAGTTATTAATCTACTATTTATAGGGGGCGGAAGTTGGGGCAGTGGTCTCATAAAATACTAAACATGATTTAATACTTTAATTTCTAGCGGAGCCACTTAATTTGAATAGTCAATATGAGAAGTATTATTCCCTAACAACCTAGCTAATTCTTTTAGACTAAAATATAAACGTACGGTACACTAGGTTCTAGCTAGTGTTCTAATTATTAATACAAAAATGAATAAGCGAGGATTGTCCAAATTCCACCATCTATTTTACCATATGTCTTATGCGAGGCTGCTACCGTCACATTGTGGACATAGGAAGACTTGTAAGGTTGTTTCCCGATCCTTAATATAAGATCTATTTAATTAATTTGATTATATTAAGGAAGTTATGTAAGTTAGTTAATTATAAAAAATATGCAATATTTTTCCTAAAACACCATAATCATATTTCTTAATATCCTCCCTTCCTCTTCTACCTGATTATGGTTAATGGAGTATTTATAGGGGTAATTTAGAAAAAATTAATAAATATGAGAAATATGTCCTGTATTTAGGACCAAAATCAACTCAATAATTAGGTCCTATATTAAAGATCGGGAGGAGTATTAACTATAAAATTTGGTCAATAATGAAAGAATAGGAATAATGAAGGGATTCCAAATCAATAAAGTAATTCCAAATCGACCTTGTCTTGCATGCTTATACCCATATAGAAGGAATCAGAGTCTTCACAAGAGGACGCATCAGCAACCTTCCTGGTCCCTGCGCTGACACGTTAATAGTTTTGTCCGGTTCCAAGGTAAGTCTCCTTGCAGAGATAAGTATCAGGTTATAAATCTTCAGATTATCAATCATCAGCTAGTTTTGGTAAGTAATGACAAATTCTCAATCTCCACAATCTAATAGCAAAAAATTATAGGAAAAATCATTCTATAGTCCCAAGAAAAGAATGTAATTATGAAAAAAATTGTAACAAATAAATAACAAGTTCTAGTCTTGAAAATGACAATACGTCCTATACTATATACTCACTATCATTCAGACTTTTTAATGATTATACTCTCTTTTTTTTTTTTGGGAACTCAGTGATTTTTTCAAAATTAATTGTATACCTTCTAAGGATTCGTCTTCCGTAGCATTATCACCCTGAATTAATATTTTTAGGGACAATGACACTTGCGACTTTGTAAGGCCTTAAATTACACTTACAAACTATTAATTCTAGAAAATTAAAACTATAAGGATTAAGGGACTTAGGGGAACTTTTTTTTTCCCTAATGTTGACCAAAATGTCCATTTTATATTTGTTTAATTTTTTTTGGCTAACGTTACATATCCATAAAAAAACAGCAACAAAAGAAACAGTTCAACAAAAGCTTTTATCGTTGATTTAAATAAGGGAAAATTACACACATGTCCCATAGAGGAGAATTAATTCAGATAGAGTCCCTGAAAATCCCCAAATTCTTCCTAAGTCCCCAGGGATCTTTGTGTAATAAATTGCAATTGTAAAAAATCTGTTATGCCCTTATTGATTGAAAAAAGAAAAAACAGAGGAAAAGTTTCAGTTTGTGCACTGGTGTTGCGCGTATGAGGAAGAAGAGCTTCTGAAAGAAGGAACGGCGGTCTGCGTTGGTGCTCCATTATTCCAAGAAAGCTATATTTTTTCTTCATCTTCTTGGTAGGTCTCATCAGGAACAAGATTTCTTTTTTTTTTTTTTGTACACAACCAATCTCAAGTTTAATGTTGGTTTGAAAAGTTGATTGGCTATGGGTGTGTGGGTATTAAGGATGTGATTTAATTCACTTGAACTATCAAGGAAAGCTCATTTAGTCATATATGGTTTTAATCAACTTAGGTGTGGTTTTGTTATGTGTGGCTAGGGTTATAAAGCAATGCTCTATTTTTGGGTGAAAGATGCTCTATTTTTCGGTGACTAATACTATGTTGCTAATGAAAAAGAATGAAAATAACAGATTTTTACTATTATAACCCCCTGTAATGTGATGGTTAAATGTCTTGTTAATAGGTACATCAAAGGTTGTTAATGTAACTGTATGACTTGTTATTAACGAGTGATTGTGACAAGTTGATATGAAGGATAACAACTTCAAGTGGGAAGCATTTGTTTTGTTACCTTCATATAGGGGGGCAATTTATTGATGGTGTAAAAGGTGAAATGCAGTATGCTGGAGGTGGTGTGAGAACAAAAATAATAAAGAAAAGCGCATCATATAAAGAATTTAGAACAATAGTAGAATCAATTATGGGAAAAGAAAGCAATGGAAGGGTTATCAAATTCACAGTAACTTTTGATGAGTTTACATTTGTGGACCTTATAGATAAAATGTAAATTTGGTGTAGTTCCATTGTACATATATATCAAGTGGTAAATGACATCTAGTTGTAATATGATATAATATCATATCCGTATTTTGATGTACTTGTTAATAGGCTATAATGGATTTGTTATCAGATGCTGTGGAGGTTGTCATTAGTAGTGTAAATTATATTACTAATATAAAGTGACAAATTCTACTACTTGAAGTGGTCAGTGATTTCTTAACACATATGATATGATGAAAATGCTGAAAAGAATTGGTTTTGATAAACTGTCAATTAATGCCTGCTGATTACTTGTCATTCACTACTGTCAAGGTTGTTAAAGCCTGCTGATTACTTGTCATTCACTATTGTCAAGGTTGTTAATGCCTGCTGATTACTTGTCATTCACTACCATCAAAGTTGTTCCTTTTTTTGGTTTCCTTTTTGCAGAGAGATTGCTTCTACCAAGTTCTTTGTAGAGTGAAGCTAACACTATTTGAAAAAAACAACAAAATTGACAAGGAAGTCACATGATTTAAAGGTTGAATGCTTGTAGTGGGTTGTAACTCATAGGAACAACCTGCATAGTGATCAAGTGTTGTCTTTGCTATGAGGAAACTCCCAAAGCAAGAGGAAGAAACAAACAACCAACATATATTGTATTTAGTTTTTTTATTTGATAGCATAATGACAGCTGAATGTAAACATCACATTTTGTTTTTTCATTTGATAGTATAAAGACAGCTGAAAGTAAAGTTCAGATTTTGTTCTTTTATTTGACCATATAATGATAGCTGAATGTTAAGTTATATTAATATGATTGGCATCGTTTTCTAGTTATGAAGTTGTTGTAATGGCATTCATGTGTTTCGATAAACACAAAATTCCTTATTCTAAACTTGAATCATGTCTAGAAATGAAGACTTAATAAAAGTGGATAAACAAATGCTAACCATGATGACATGATAGGTATATATCGCAGTCTTCTCTGCCAGATCCATTTACAACCTTAACGGCATCTATTGACAACCTGAGGGAAAGTGCTTAACAACCTTAGCAGTGCCCCTGACAATTCACTATATGGGATGCCATGGCTTCTTAAAAGATTATATTATCAGCACATATGATGAACTTAACAATATAATGGTAGGCATTTTGAAGTCACTAACAGCTTTAAGTAAACCCAGCAGCATTACAACACATTTTTATTGCAGATATTTATTTACAACCTTAACAGTGGTTGTTGACAACCTGAGGAGAAGTGGTTAACAACCTCAGCAGTGCCCCTGACAATTCATTCTATCAGATACCACAGCTTCTAAAAAAATTGTATTATCAGCACACATAACGACCTTAACAATATAATGTGAGGTGTTTTGAAGTCATTAACAACTGTAACTAAACCCAATAGGATTATAACAGATTTTTATTGTAGAGATTCATTTACAACCTTAATGGCGGCTGATGACAACATGAGGAGAAGTGGTTAACAATCTCGGTAGTGCCCTTGACAACTCATACTATGGGATATCACACCTCAACATAACATCAAATTATAACCAAATGATATCATGTTACAACTTTAACTCAACAATCATGTGTTAAGAAATCATTGAACATTGCAAGTAGGAGACATTGTCACTTTATATCAGTAACATAATTCAAACCACTAATGACAACCTCCACAGCATCTGATAACAAGTCCATTACAACCTATTGAAAAGTATATTAAAATACAATATGATATTATATCAGATTACAACCAAATGTCATTTACCACTTGATATATCTGTATAATATAACTACACTAAATTTACAACCCATTCAATAAAGCACATAGGTTGCATTTGTGGATAATGACGGACAACTTTAGGTGTGGGTTATGATATTTACAAAACAATTATGTCACAAGCATTCACAAAAAGAAATATAAACAAGCCACCAACAAAGCTCAACTTGGATTGAAGTTCTAGCAAGTCTTTACAGTATGGCCTAGCTTATGGCATCTTCCACAATGGTAAAGTTTTTAATTTTGAAATTGAGATTCAATTCTTCTTTTCTTTGGCCTCCCTAAGGGTTTTTTAGTGATTGGTATACCTTTCTTTATCATTCTTGTTCTCACACAACCTCGAACATATTGCATTTCACCTTCTACACTATTAATAAATTGTCCCCCTATATGGAGATAACAGAACAAATGCTTCCCACTTGAAGTTGTC